AAAAGACTAGAGAGAGTGTTGGTGAGGATTTGTGGAAAAGGAGACTGTCGTACATGTTGGAAATGTAAATTCTCACAGCCACTATGGAAAACAGTATGGAGGTTCCTCAAAAATAAAAATAGAGCCATATGATTCAGCAATCTCACTACTGGAGAAGTCTGTACCTCGAAGAGATGTCTGCACCCCCATGTTCATAGCAGCATTATTAACAATGGCCAAGATATCAGAACAACCTTAATATCCTTCCATCCTTGAATGGATAAAGAAGTTGTGATCTATCTATCTGTATATCTTTCTACTTAACTGTATCTAATGGAATGTTACAGTGTATATGAATGCAGTGTTCAGCCATGAGAAAAAATGAAATCCTATCCTTTGTGACAATATGGATGGTCCTAGGGGACATTATACTAAGTGAAAAGCCTGACAGAGAAGGACACAAACTATATGATCTCTCATATATATATTAATTCTAAAACAAACAGAATGTCAAACTCATGGAAACAGAAGAGAAAGATGTACTACTAGTGGCTGTGTGGTAGGGGAAATGAGGAAATTGTGCTCAAATGGTATAAGCTTGCAGTTATTAGATATACCAGCTCTATTTATCTAATGTACGGCATGGAACTACAGTTCATATACTGTTTTATATACTTATGATTTTCCAAGAGAGTAGATTTTAAGCATTCTCATGCACACACATACATTCACCATACCTCAAATGATAACTGTGTGGGGGTAGTGGATGAGTTAACCTGATTGTGGTAATATTTCCACAATGTCACATCATCCTTTTGTACACTTTAATGTAGGCAGTTTTATGTATACAGATTTATTTATCAGTTCAGTTCAGTCACTGACCCTTTGGGACCCCATGAACCACAGCTTGCCAGGCCTCCCTGTCCATCACCAACTCCTGGAGTCTACCCAAACTCATGTCCATTGAGTCGGTGATGCCATCCAACCGTCTCATCCTCTGTCATCCCCTTCTCCTCCTGCCCTCAATCTTTCCCAGCATCAGGGTCTTTTCAAATGAGTCAGCTCTTTCTTCAGGTGGCCAAAGTAGTGGAGTTTCAGCTTCAACATCAGTCCTTCCAATGAACACCCAGGACTGATCTCCTTTAAGATGGACTGGTTGGATTTCCTTGCAGTCCAAGGGACTCTCAAGAGTCTTCTCCAACACCACAGTTCAAAAGCATCAATTCTTCGGCACTCAGCTTTCTTTATAATCCAACTCTCACATCCATACATGACCACTGGAAAAACCATAGCCTTGACTAGATGGACCTTTGTTGACAAAGTAATGTCTCTGCTTTTCAATATGCTGTGTAGGTTGGTCACAACTTTCTTTTCAAGGAGTAAGCCTCTTAATTTCATGGCTGCAGTCACCATCTGCAGTGATTTTGGAGCCCAAAAAAATAGAGTCAGCCATTGTTACCCCGTCTATTTGTCATGAAGTGATGGGACTGGATGGCAGGATCTTAGTTTTCTGAATGTTGAGTTTAAGCCAACTTTTTCGCTCTTCTCTTTACCTTTCATCAGGAGGCTCTTTAGTTCTTCACTTTCTGCCATAAGGGTGATGTCATCTGCATATCTGAGGTTATTGATATTTTTCCTGGCAATCTTGATTCCAGCTTGTACTTCTTCCAGCCCATCGTTTCTCATGATGTACTCTGCATATAAGTTAAATAAGCAAGGTGACAATATACAGTCTTGGCATACTCCATTTCCTATTTGGAACCAGTCTGTTGTTCCAGGTCCAGTTCTAACTGTTGCTTCCTGACCTGCATACAGGTGTCTCAAGAGACAGGTCAGGTGGTCTGGTATTCCCATCTCTTTCAGAATTTTCTACAGGTTATTGTGATTCACACAGTCAAAGGCTTTGACATAGTCAATAAAGCAGAAATAGATGTTTTCCTGGGACTCTCTTGCATTCTCAATGATCCAGTGGATGTTGGCAATTTGATCTCTGGTTCCTCTGCCTTTTCTAAAACCAGCTTAACATCTGGAAGTTCATGGTTCACATATTGCTGAAGCCTGGCTTGGAGAATTTTGAGCATTTCTTTACTAGTGTGTGAGATGAGTGCAGTTGTGCGGTAGTTTGAGCATTCTTTGGCATTGCCTTTCTTTGGGATTGGAATGAAAACTGACCTTTTCCAGTCCTGTGGTCACTACTGAGTTTTCCAAATTTGCTGGCATATGGAGTGCAGCACTTTCACAGCATCATCTTTTAGGATTTGAAATAGCTCAAGTGGAATTCCATCACCTCCACTAGCTTTGTTTGTATTGATGGTTCCTAAAGCACACTTAATTAACTTCACATTCCAGGAAGTCTGGCTCTAGGTGAGTGATCACACCATTGTGATTATCTGGGTCGTGAAGATCTTTTTTGTACAGTTCTGTGTATTCTTGCCACCTCTTCTTAATATCTTCTGCTTCTGTTAGGTCCATACCATTTCTGTCCTTTATTGAGCCCATCTTTGCATGAAATGTTCCCTTGGTATAATTTTGTTGACGAGATCTCCAGTCTTTCCTATTCTGTTGTTTTCCTCTATTTCTTTGCACTGATCACTGAGGAAGGCTTTCTATCTCTCCTTGCTATTCTTTGGAACTCTGCTTTTAAATGGGTATATCTTTCCTTTCTCCTTTGCTTTTCACTTCTCTTCTTTTCACAGCTATTTGTAAGGCCTCCTTAGACAGCCATTTTGCTTTTTTGCATTTCTTTTTCTTGGGGATGATCTTGCTCCCTGTCTCCTGCACAGTGTCATGAACCTCTGTCCATAGTTCGTCAGGCACTGATCTAGTCCCTTTAATCTATTTCTCACTTCCACTGTATAATCATAAGGGATTTGATTTAAGTCATACCTGAATGGTCTAGTGGTTTTCCCTTCTTTCTTCAATTTAAGTCTGAATTTGGCAATAAGGAATTCATGATCTGAGCCACAGTCAGCTTCTGGTCTTGTTTTTGCTGACTGTATAGAGCTTCTCCATCTTTGGCTGTAAAGAATATTATCAATCTGATTTCGGTGTTGGCCATCTGGTGATGTCCATGTGTAGAATCTTCTCTCATGTAGTTGGAAGAGGGTGTTTGCTATGACCAGTGCGTTCTCTTAGCAAAACTCTATTCGCCTTTGCCCTGCTTCATTCTGTTCTCCAAGGCCAAACTTGCCTGTTGCTCCAGTTGTTTCTTGACTTCCTACTTTTACATTCCAGTCCACTATAATGAAAAGGACATCTTTCGTCAGTTGTACCTCAGTAAAACTGGAGGAATGAACAATGAACAGTAAAAGAGACCCATGGCGGGTTCAAGTCAATGTGCGGCAAAACCAATACAATGTTGTAAAGTAAAATAAATAAATAAAAGGGTCAGTGTTTTTGTTTTTTAAAGAACAGGGAGTCTCAGTGCTATCTTACACTGTTTCAGAGAACAGGAAAATAAGGAATACTTCTCATTGTTTTATGAAGCAAGGTTAATACTGGTGCCGAAACTGATACAAAGATTTACTAAAAAGAAAAGAAAAAATAAACACAGCTCAATCTTACTAATCATTAATTTTGATAGTTACAGTGGTAATTTGGCTTCTAAGAAAAGGTTTGTATGTTTTAGATTTTCATACTGAACTATTCAGGGGCAGAATATCATGATGACTTCTTTTTTTATACTTTGCCTGTCATCGTTTACTTTAAAATACTTAAGCTTTGAATTTCTATAACCATAGATTTTTAGGTTCATACGTTGGCCAGATCATCATCCTGTTTTTAGGGGTTTCTGAGTCAGTAAGGTAGTACTGGTGAACCTTTTATAGTGCTTATTATATTTGAAATTTGTTGGTATTGAACTTGTTTTCTATATGTTTATAATTTCAGTTTTTGAATACAGAAAACACTCACTCGAAATCATATGCGAATCATATGGAAGGATCTTTTTTAGGGCTTATAAATGTTCTTTTTGTATCTGTTTGCACAATGACTTGTAAAAACAATGGATAATGACAAAAGGACTTCTCAAAAAATATATGTGGGTGTTAAGAGTTAATCTTAAAGGGAAGTAGGATACCTTGAATAGCAAAATTAAAGAAGAAAGAAGCCACCTATTTTGAGAAGTTTAAAAAGAAAAATGAAAAATAAAAAGTGAAAGTAGGATTCAGATAAAGAACAGAATATTAGTAAATCTCAATTCAAACATTAATAGATTTTTTTTTTGGTCTTTTGACCAGCATATCATTTTTAAATATACTTTTTCCTGAGTATATTTTATTAGGTATATATTTATACAAGTTGATTTATTATTTACCTGTCACATTGACTTGCTGAGCCCAGGAATAATAGCATGCTTCCTTAGAAGCCATATAGTTCATCCCTCTTAGATTTTCAGAAAAAGACACCTCTCTGGTTACCTTGAGTAACCAGATCTGTTCTTTGATCTAACATAGGAAAGTTGGATAGGTGATAAGCTATGTCTTGTGAATTCACTACCTTAAACTACATCATGTGGCTATTCCATAAGTGATGAGCTGGATAAACTTGTTGGTTGGTCACTAAAGAAAATTGAAAAATTGTGATAAATAGATATTTGAAAGAAGAGGGTATAAAATTCACAAAAGCAGTCATGTAATTTGACATAAGATAGGAGGATGACATTATTATATGAGAAGTAAGAAGAAAAGGACCCAAGTTAGCAAAGGAAAATAAGTACAACCTTGAGAGAAATGAAAATTGAAGGGGAATGAGTGGGAAGTCCTACATTTCTCTTATCTAGTAGTTACTAAATCATTGTGTTAGAGCAATTGGCAACATTTAAACTTGTCTACATTTTTTTCTACCCTGTTTTATTTTTTCCCCCTCATTTTTAAGAAACATATGTGATTTTTTTGATGTTACCCCTTCAAAAGTGTAGACTTTGTGTAGGAGTTTTATGTAATTGTGAATTAATGTCCTGATGATAAAAAGGAAAGGCTGTAATGTTTGTCTTTTTTTGTGGGGGTGGGGGACTATTCCAGGCATAGCCCTTTTGTACCTGCAGTTGTACCGGGTTACATGTGACCAGTCCTATTTGCTCCGATCCCTGGATTATGTAAAGAGAACACTTCGGAATCTGAATGGCCGAAGGGTCACTTTCCTCTGTGGAGATGCTGGGCCCCTGGCCGTTGGAGCTGTTGTATATCATAAACTCAAAAGTGATTGTGAGTCCCAGGAATGCATCACAAAGTGAGTTTTTACTACTGGAAGTGTTTTTTCTAAATTCTCAGTATTGATGTAGAAAGAAACTCAAAAAATGAAAATGAATTTCTCTTTTAATTCACCTGCTCTTGCAAATAGTTCTTTCCAAGTAGAAAAAAGTTTGAAAATTAATCTTGAGCCTGATTGGGCTCAATATTGGGATTGTTTGCTGCTTTTCTATCGAAGCATGTGTTTGTCTTAATTTGAGGGAAGAGAGTAAACATGTTTTTTCCTAAGTAATTTTTGGTTGCCTTCAGTGCATGAAAATTAGCTTATATGCCTTAGATTCACTATAATAACTGAGGTATTCTTAGGTTCAGTTGTTAGGAAACATAGAGAATGTAAGCTTTTGCATATATTGGTTTGTATTCTCTTTTGAATCAGAGCCATGGTCTCTACTAGCCATGGTCTAGTGAAGTGTCTGGCATGTGCTGGTCAGTTAATGTTTGTTTAAGATGGGGTGACTCAAGCTAATTCTCAAGCATTGGCTACATTTTGGTAAGATTTTTACTAAAATTTGTAATCATTTTATTGTAATTCTGGGTTTCAAAACTGAGTATCTTCTCTTATATGTATATATTCCTATAAAGTTTAGATATATTAGTAAACATAGAACTTTTGAACAGCAAGATGTGTTATTATTAATTTTTATATCTGAGAGAGAAGTTTTTGTTTGGTTTTGTAGTGGAAGTTTTTGTTGTTTTCCCTCTTTTTTGATATTTTTAAAAATCATTTTTAAGTGAAAAATAATAACAGATAATTCCTAAAGTGATAGGGTTACTTGCAGTTTTAGGAAGAGGTATTTTAGACATTCTCTGGGTAAACAGAATTTTTCTTGTTGGGTAGACTTTTGCAACTCCAGAGAACCATCGTCTGTCGAGATTCAGACCTTCCTGATGAGCTGCTTTATGGACGGGCAGGTTATCTGTACGCCTTACTCTACGTGAACACGGAGATAGGTCCAGGCGCTGTGTGTGAGTCAGCTATCAAAGAGGTACTGTGGGGCCATGGGTTGGGGAGTCCTCTCCTATCCATCAGGCAGCCTGTCTGCTAGCATAGAGTTATAGTAGTGACTGGACTCTGCCTCTAGGTAAGAGTAATTTCCTAAGGCCTCTCACAAAATTAATAAATAGCTCCTTTATTTTTTCTTCTGGGGACTTTGTTTTTTAATTAAGTTTGTATTCATTCAGCTGTTTTTACTAAAACCACATAGTAGCTTAAAGAAGAATGTTTATTTCTCTTTCATGAGGTGTCTAAACTGATAGGCAATCAAGGTGAATATGGCTAGGGACCAGCTTCCCTCTTGTTCTGCCTTATCCTTGGGCCACACCCTTATCTGCTGGGTACTGAGAACCCCAGCCCAGGGCGTGGTGAGCACGTCCTCCACGTGGAGAACGTGGAAGTTGCCCACCTCACTTGTGCACACATCCTTCTTCTAGAACTCCATCAGATGACTGTGTCCCCCAGTCTGTATCTCTGAGGCGATATGTCTCACTAAAACTTGAAGTCCTGTTACCAAAAGTATGAGGGGAGAGAGGATATGAGGAAACAGTTAAATACTACTTTGCCACATAGTCATTCTAAAATCCTGCAGCAAACCTCATTGCTGGAGTGTTTCATAAATAAAGCCAGTTCCTCCAGCATTGGTGGATGTACAGTTATCCCTTAGTACCTGCTGGGGATTGATTCCAGGACCCCCTCTGGATACCAAAATGCCAGGATGCGGAAGTCTCTTAATAAAGTGATGAAGTATTTGCATGTAAGCTATGCATATCCTCCTGTGCACTTTAAATCATCTCTAGATTACTTTTCATACCTAACACCATGTAAATGCTATGCAAACAGTTGCCTCCATGCAACCAATTCAAGTTTTTCTTCTTGGAACTTTCTGGAATATATTTTCCCCAATATTTTTTTCAGAGGTTGGTTGAATCCACCGGTGTGAAACCTGCAGCAGATGTGGAGGGCCAAGTGTGCTTGCCTTTTGGGGGAAAATATTGAGTCTAAGTAGTCTAAGATAGTTTTTATAGGAGGTTTTTCTAGGTTCTAGTAAACTGTCCATACAAAGACCTTTTTATCTCTTGGTTCTACTTCTTAATATCTTTTCCTATTTGAGATTGTCTTCTGATTTCTCCCTGACTGTATTTATTGATTAATAGAATAAAGATAATGGTGCTTATCATTTCAGATTAAGTAATCTATGTATTAAAGATTTTCAGATTAAGTAATCTATGTATTAAAGATTTTCAGATTAAGTAGTCTGTGTATATAAAGACATGTTGTTATTGTTAATTAGACTAAAAGAGACTACATGTAAGTTTTCTAGACTTTCTCTGTCTCATCATCTGTGTAGGTAGTCAGTGCCATCATTGAATCTGGCAAAGCTTTGTCCAGAGAGGAGAAGAAGGTGGAGCGCTGCCCCCTGTTGTATCAGTGGCACAGGAAGCAGTATGTCGGAGCAGCCCATGGAATGGCCGGGATCTACTACATGTTAATGCAGGTGAGTGACAGTCTGTAACTCCAGTGCGGGAACCACACTATGAAATGCTGGATTGAATCAAGAATGGGAACTGAAATTTTACTACAAACCAAGCAGGCTGAAATGAAATAAGACTCCTCAGGCAGGGACTTCCTGAGAGAGAGTACATCATGTGTGCAGTATTGTGCTGGATAAGGTGTCTGTGGCCCACACTTTATTTCTGTCCATTTTTGCCTGCTCTTTTAATTGGGGAAAACCTTCAAGAAGCAGAAAAGGCTTCTGGAATGCAGACTAGGGCAGCGGCTTTTTCATATTCAAATAACCCCAACTTGGTATCAGTTGTGTTGAAAATTTTTAACTAGTTTGTTATTACGGTTATGATCTTGTCTCTGAATCTGCTGATGTCTGATGTCTGCTGAATCACATACTGATAGTCAAAGACCTCGCACCAAATACTGCTTCAGCCTGCTTCCAGCCTTATGGCCTGTGAGTCCCTCCTCGGGGGCAGACCTCAGCGACATCGAAGGTTCAGTTCCACACTGCTGCAGCAAAGCAGATGTCGCAGTGAAGGAAGTCATGTGTTTCTTGGCTTTCCAGTGAATGTGTAAGTTATGTTCACATATTAATGTAGTCTAAAGTGTGCAATACTATTATGTCCTTAAAAAACATGTACATACCTGAATTTTAAAATACTTTATTGCTAAAAAATGCTAAACTGTCATCTGAACCTTCAGTGATCGGTGATCTTTTTGCAGTAGTTATATCACAGGTCACTTATCTTATATCACTATATCAAATATAATAACAGTGAAAAAGTGTGAAATATTGTGAGAAATACCAAAATGTTTCACCGAGAAACAAAATGAGCAAATCCTGTTGGAAAAAGTGGTGCCAATAGACTTGCTTGATTCAGAGTTGCCACAAACTTTCAGTTTTTTAAAAACACAAGTGCAGCACAATAAAACAAAGACGAATAAAACAAGGTCTGGCTGTACTTTTTTTTTCCAGTTAAGCCGTTTTTTAATTCTACCACACCCATAACAGAGTACTTTATAAACTTATTCAAAATTACAAAGCTAGTATGTCAAGGAACATGGATTAGAATTTAGATCTTTTTAATTAAAAGCCCGTATATTCCTTTATAAAATTTTTATTTACAGATGCCTTTTTTATTTTTACCTTTTGCGTCATGCTGGTACTCACTAAAGGAAAACGGGAAATTCCTATCTGCCCAGGACTAGAACTCCTTTTTCTGGTGATTAAGTATGCTTGGTTATCATATTAGAAAGTAAAACACCTGTGTAATCCAATTTGTGAATTTTGTCTTAGTTCAGACATGTTCCCAAGCAGCCAGAATTCCATGTCTCATTTTAAAATGGCAATGTTGTTCTAGACAGTTGGTAGACTGTCTGTTTTTCTCTCTTTTCTCAGAGAAACGTTTATAACAGTGGCCTTTGATTCTTTTTTAAAAGCGGTAAAACCTTTAGTGGGAACATAATCATAAGAAAATCACCAATAATTTAGTTTTAGGTGTTTAGTTTAATTTTGCTAGATATTAGGGGGTTCCTTGAGAAAATCACAAATCATAAAATTTTCAACTCACCTACTTTTAAAGTGACGAACATAGAGACAGTGTTTTGTAAAGGACACTGTTTAGACATCGATGTCAGCGTTCTCTTCCGGATCACCAAGCAGTGATGTGTCGGAGCTGGTCTCGTGAGCCTGGCCGTGCACGTCTCTCCCCAGTGGTGCCGGCCTGACCACGCGGGGGCTCCTATGTGGTTTCATCTGAACAGCTGTCGGAACAGCATACACAAAAACTTTCAAAATATCACTTGAACAGAGCTCCACTTTACAATGAAGAATAAAGAACAGTTCTTGAAAATCATCTCAAAATATCAAGGAAAACAGAAAACTGACGCCCAGCGTCTTTGATGAGACTTGGAGACTTCTGCAGCCCCACTAGACAAGTATGTAGACTGAGAGCAGATGAAGGACCAAAGGAACAGGAGGCGACCTGAGAGGACAGATGGTTGCACAAGGTGCCTGAGGATGAGGACGCCAGCTAGAAGAAGCCGGTAGTCCCACGGAGCCCTGCACTCAGGAACTTAAGGTGCCCTCAGAGGCAGCGCCGGACACGTGTGCAGGTGGAGAGTGAGTCTGGGCCCCAGGAGGGCGTCTTTGAAAGTCTCCGTGGAGCCCACCTGGGCATCTGCAGGGATCACCCTACACAGCAAGGTGACTAGAGATAACAGGAAGTAGGCTGAAAGAGTAAGCCGAGTTCTTTTAGCTCCAGAAAGCCAGGTGTAGATGAGACTTGAAGTGAAGCACAGAACTAAAGGCCGGGCTCTGTGACCGTTCCCACGGTCAGCAAGGAGACCTCGCTGTGGCCACAGCCCGCCTCTCCCCAGCACCTTCCCCCAGCCCAGCTGTCAGAGCCTCACCACCTCACATAGGGAATTGAAGTCTCTTTTGCAGAAACAGCTCAGATAAAAGATTTGTAGATATAGGTGTATGAAAGTCCCCAGTTGTCTGTGATGGGTAATTTTATATGTCAACTTGACTGGGCTCTGGTGCCCAGACATCTAGTCAGACGTTACTCTGGGTATTTCTGTGAGGGTGTGTAGGTGATGTTTACATTTAAACAGGTTGACTTCTGGTAAAGAAGTCTGTTCTCTGCACGTGGGTGGGCTTCGTCCAATCAGTTGAAGGCCTCCCCTGAGCAAGAGGGAATCCCCAGCGGACAGCCTTCAGCTTCATCTGCAGCCTCAGCAAGTATTGATGCAAAGGTCTGCCCAGGCCTTAAGTAACCAGAGAGGTAAATTAATTCTAGTTTCATATGTTCCTCAGTATTCTAGGTAATTGATGCTTAACTATATTAACCACAATATAGGTTTAAAAAAAAAAACTTATGGAAAAATTAATTAAATTTTTTATTTGTTTAAAAGCCAGCAGCAAAAGTGGACCAAGAAACCTTGACAGAAATGGTGAAACCTAGTATTGACTATATGCGCCACAAAAGATTCCGGTCTGGGAATTACCCGTCCTCACTGAGCAATGAGACGGACCGATTGGTGCACTGGTGCCACGGGGCTCCCGGCGTCATCCACATGCTCATGCAGGCGCACAAGGTCAGTGCCCGGGCTGCGCGCTTGGCTTCCGATGTGCAGACGGTGTGCACCACCGAGTGAGGTTTGGTCTCGGTAATCGCATTTGCTTGCAAACTAAAAACATTTTAGGGCTAACATTTCTACTAGTAAGCAGAAAATCTTACTTCACTGTTCATCCCCACTATAGTTAGAGCTGTAAGTGTGTTTGTGTGTCTTAACCAGAATTATATTTCTGTGTAAAAGAAAACCTAGATGACATAAGTATGAATAACCAGTAAGGCAGGAGGTAGCGTTATAGCCACAGTGCTTTTTGTTTGACTTCACATCATTTCATTTCCTTCCTTGAATACACCTTTGTTGCAGGATGATGATTTGGAAACTTTTAAATCTGGATTTAAAATTATTATAAAATTATTTATAAAAGATGGACTTGGCATGCAAAATTTCACACATACAGGGTATTATTGGAAATTAGGCAGTGCCTTGACTTTACTGATGAACTGTAGTAGACTCTCGATCTGTCTGTGCACAGTGTTAAGAATACTGTTATTTCTCTCCTGGATTTAGAATTACCATGTAAATTGAAATTATCATATAAAATTGAGAAGCAATTTTACTTTTCTTTTTAATGCATCTTTGTAATAGTTGATGTTTGATTTCCCCTCCTATCGCTGCTACTCACATTTCACATAGGATATACTCTTCTTGGTATGAACATGTATTATTTGAAATTATGTAAAATTTTAGATGGTCTTGGAAAAAATGTCAAGATTTTTAACACTATTTCTGTGATGTATTAGGAATTTTGTTAATTGAAAGTGATTTCCTAACAGTTACGTTCGTGGACATTTGTGGACCTCATGGATGGAAGCTATTTTGATGAATAGTTCCAATCAGTGAGTTTCCGTGTTAGCTTGGATGGCGAAGAATCTGCCTGCAGTGCAGGAGACCTGGTTTTGATTACTGGGTTGAGAAGATCCTCTGGAGAAAGGAGTGGCTACCCACTCTAGTATTCTTGCCTAGAGAATCTCATGGACAGAGGAGCCTAGTGAACTACAACCCATGGGGTTACAAAGAGCTGGACATGCCTGAGCAACTAACACTTTCACTTTTCTACAATCAGTTCTTTATGGTAAATTATACATTATAGTAACAAAATCTTCCACCTTCTAACCACACATTTAAGCCTTGGGGCATTAGCAGTTTGTGCGGACTCAGCCACTAATGAGCAAATACTAACATTGGTCAAATAAAGTTATATTTGAAAAAGTAAATATATTGCCCAAGAAAACCATGTAAGTCATAGCAAAGTGATATCAAAGTTATCCTTTGATTCGGGGCTAAATGTGTGAAAAAACCATACCTTCCCTTTCTGTACCCACAGTCCTGCTCTGTAATTTCCACTGTAGAACTATTAGAAATGCATCTTGATGGTCAACTCTTGACCTTAACTTTTCATCAGAAAATGTTTTCATATAAATTATTCCCTCAAATCTCATTTGTTAGTTGATTATTTCTAACATGGACTATCTTTCTTCTAGGTGGTGTTTGTCAGAATCACCTGGAGAGATTATTTTCAAACTATACTTTCTTTCCTTCTTCCTCTGGATTCTGGCACCTTCCTGATATGAAGCATCATTATAGACATACTAGTTTATCTCTTTGTTGTTCAGTTGTTTCTGGTTTTTTTACTACTATGATAAGCTATAGTGAACATTCTTGTACAGGTCTTTATTTGTAGACATATGTTTGCATTTCTTTAGGGGCTGATAAATATGATAACTAAGAGTGGAATTGCTGGATCAGAAAGTGACTTGTTTAGTTTCATAAGACACTGCTAGAGCTTTTCTTAAAGGGCTGTACCATTTTTACATTCAGTCAGCAATGTAAGAGAATTCCAGTTGCTGCACATCTCTGCCTACTCTTGGTGTTGAAAGTTATCTTCATTTTATTATGGTTTTGATTTCTGTTTTTGTGATGATTAATAATATCGAGCAATTTTGCTTGTGCTCATGGGTTGTTTGTACAGTTGAACCTTTAGCAGCACAGGTTTGAGCTTTGTGGGGCCACTTATATTTGGATTTTTTTCAATAAATACAGTACTGTGGTATAACACGGTCCACGATGGGTTGAATGAGGATACAGAATGGCATACAGATGGGTCCCGCTGTAAAGTTATATAAGGATTTTCAACTGGGTGGGGGCTAGTACCCCAGCCCCCATATTGTTCAAGGGTTAATTGTATATTTTTGTTAAGTGTCTATTCATATCTTTTCCCCACATTTATTTATTTTTTATCTTTTTATTATTAAGTTATAAAAATTCTTCCTATGTTCTGGTTGTAAGTCCTTTCACAGATATGTTTTGGAAATAACTTCTCTCAGTCTGTAGTCAGCCTAATTTATTATTCTGTATGGTATCTTTTAATGAATCCAGTTTTAAATTCTGATGAAGTCTACCTTATCAGTGTTTTGTTTTCTTTTTTTTAATGGCAACTACTTTCTGAATCTTATCTAAGAAATTTTACTCACTCCCAGGTTATACAGACAGTATTCTCCTACATTCTTCATGGATTTAGATTTTATATTTAGAATTGTCTCAAATTAAGTTTTATATGCTTTATGAAGGACTGAGGCTCTTTTTCTCACTGTAGGAGTGTTTGATTTTTCCCACATTGTTTGTTGCAGACTTATTCCCCGAATTGATTGATTTGGTACCTATAGAGGCACTAGTTCAAAGATCAAATTACCCAGTAAGCATAAGTTTATATCTGGGCTCTCTATTCTATTATTTTGGCCTGTTTATCTGTCACCATGATACCATATTGTTTGGATTACGCTATCTTTAAGCTTTGAAATAAGGTAATTTAAGACTTCAGCTTTGTTTTTCTTTTTCAAAATTGTTTTAAATATCCTAGATCCTTTGCATTTAAATATAAAATTCAGATATCAGTTTATCAACCTCTGCAAAAGAGGCCTATTGGGATTATGACTGAGACTGCAGTCAATTTATAGATCATTTTGGTAGATTTGATATCGATTTTGAGTGATCCTATCCACAAATATGGTTTCCACTATTTATATTTTCTTTCATTTATGTCAGCAATGTTTTATAGTTTTTGATGTCTTTATATTTAAAGTGTGTCTCTTCATAGTTGGGCCTTGTCTAGCAATGCAATTTTAATGATCTCAGCCTTTAATCTGGAAGTTTGGTTTAACAATATTTACATGCTTGGGTTTAGCTCTGCCATTTTCCCATAGGTTTCTATTGGCTACATCTTGGGACTTTTTTTCCCTCCTTTGTTTTTTCTTTCTTCCATTTTAGGGAGGTAGGAGAGATTAATTGGATTTTTTTCTGGAATTCCATGTTAACTTCTCTGTTGACTCTGTAGTTATATCTGTTTGCACATTTTTTTCAGTTCAGTCACTCAGTCATGTCCGACTCTTTGCAACCCCATGGACTGCAGCACACCAGGCTTCCCTGCCCATCACCAACTCCCGGAGTTTACTCAAAGTCGGTGATGCCATCCAACCATCGCATCCTCTGTCATCCCCTTCTTCTCCCACCTTCAATCTTCCCCAGCATCAGGGTCTTTTGTAATGAGTCAGTTCCTCACATCAGGTGGTCAAAGTAGTGGAGTTTCAGCTACAGCATCAGTCCTTCCAATGAATATTCAGGACTGATTTCCTTTAGGATGGATTGGTTGGATCTCCTTGCAGTCCAAGGGACTCTGAAGAGTTTTCTCCAACACCACAGTTGAAAAGCATCAATTCTTCGGCGCTCAGCTTTCTTTCTAGTCCAAATCTCACATCCATACATGACTACTGGAAAAACCATAGCCTTGACTAGATGGACCTTTGTTGGCAATGTAATGTCTCTGCTTTTTAATATGCTATCTAGGTCGGTCATACTTTTCTTCCAAGGAGTAAGTGTCTTTTAATTTCATGGCTGCAGTCACCATCTGCAGTGATTTTGGAGCCCCCAAAAACATTTAAGTCTGCCACGTTTCTCCATCTATTTGCCATGAAGTGATGGGACCGGATGCCATGATCCTAGTTTTCTGAATGTTGAGCTTTAAGCCAACCTTTTCACTCTCCTCTTTACCTTTCATCAAGAGGCTCTTCAGTTTTTCTTCACTTTCTGCCATAAGGGTGGTGTCATCTGCATATCTGAGGTTATTGATATTTCTCCCAGCAGTCTTGATTCCATCTTGTGCTTCATCCAGCCCAGCATCTCTCATGATATATTCTGCATATAAGTTAAATAAGCAGGGTGACAATATACAGCCTTGACGTACTCCTTTTCCTATTTGGAACCAGTCTGTTGTTCCATGTCCAGTTCTAACTGTTGCCTCCTGATGAGAGAGTCATTTCCTAGGCAGGTTGATAAGTCTAGGGGTCCCCAAGGAGAGAGGGATCTGGAATTCTCAAGGAGGAAGAAAGGACAAACTTTTTTTCCCTCTACATTCCTTAGGATTATATAACAATAATGTATCCTGCCTGAGGACAGTCTCTGGATTAAACCTTCTGGCTAATCCTTTTATCTTAAAATGTAAATTATGGGAGTAGGTCTGGTGTGCTCTTTACAACTTCCAGACATTCTTTTGATTCATTGGAGAGTATTTTAACTCCATAGCTAACACTAGCAAGGGGGTGTTCTTTCTGCTCGCTTCTGATGCCTATGTCAAAAGCTTTCTCTATCTCCTTTATACTTTAATAACGCTTTATTACAAAGCTCTGAGCGATCAAGCCTCGGCTCTGGCCTCAGATTGAATTCTCCTCCTCCGGAGGCCAAGAATCCCGGCATCTTTTTGTGGTTCATCAACAACCTTTCACTGACCTGCATACAGATTTCTCAAGAGGCAGGTCAGGTGGTCTGGTATGCCTATCTCTTTCAGAATTTTCCACAGCTTGTGATGATCCACACAGTCGAAGGCTTTATAATAGTCAATAAAGCAGAAATAGATGTTTTTCTGGAACTCTCTTGATTTTTCAATGATCCAGAGGATGTTGGCAATTTGA